GTTGAATTGGAAGATGTTGCACTTCAATGTGCTACTAAGAGCTCCGTAGATCTTCCTCCATCAGTCCGAATGTATGTACTTCTTGTTGGTGTTGTCGTAGCAGTAATCACAGAGCTCACAGCTTCGTCAGTATCCACATTCGTGTATAATGAAACCGCGTCAAAACTTGCATAACATGCGCCATTGGGTACTTCACAGCGATCCAGAGCAGATATGAATTCTCCAGCATTCAAGATGAGCAGCTACGTGGTGCAGTAGCGGCGATAGTAGTTTCGTGAGGAACCAGCTGATTCTATCCGACGGTCCTCCACATGAGGATATGATTGGTCTGGTTTTTACCAAGTCTTCATCGATGTCGCGTAAGTCAGTATCTTCAGAAAACTTGTGTTTTGACCAATGCATAGTATGTTGGCACAGTGGGGAATGTCGAAAGAAATCGTTTAGCTGTCCTCGCATCCATAATCTTGCTCAAGATCCGCGTAGTCGTGCATTGAAGCTCCTTTGAAGCTTTCTTGAAACTTCGTGATGATAGCTCGTATGTGGTGGCATCAGAAAGAGATCGTCGACCCAGACTTTTGTCTAGCGACTGTGAGAGTATAACGAAGTCTCCGCTCTTGTCGCTCACACTGTATCGGAGGTCCTTCTTCAGAAGCAAAAGCTTTTTCAGACCACGTCTCTCTTTTTCAGTGAGGTTGGATGCAAACATTGCTGATCTCTCGTTTGCGTAGACTTGTACCAGGGTTAAGCTAGAGTGATGCTGGTGAAGGCTCTAGAGATGGTGCTGGTCTTGGTGCCAACACGAATGTTCTTGGAAAAGGTATTGATGCAGCGAACAAAGATAACCTTTCTTTGCGGTTTGTTCGTTGACGTACGGTAGAACCAGTGGTACTCCTCCAACTGCAAAGAAGGTCATGGTCAAAACACACAAGTTTTCTGAAGATACTGGCTCACGCGACATCGATGAAGACTTGGTAAAAACCAGACCAATCATATTGCATCTACTGCGCAGAGAATAAATCTGCCAGTTACGAGGAACTGTCTACTTGGTCACATGTGAAGGATGTGGTCAAAAATACGTCGGTGAAACTATGCGGCCACTGTACAGACGAATGGACGAGCATGCGAGCGCTGCGGAATCCTTCTTCTTACCCAAGGAATGGATTTTCACGGCATCGCACCCTGTTTCATGAGCAAGAAGCCCCGCCCTCCCTAAAGTCACCATATTGCACCGCTCGAAGGAAGGATCCATTAGAAAGGAAGCTGCTCGAGGCGCTTGCTATCAAGCGTCTATCCCCCGAAATAAATAACAGGGATGAGCTGATGGGAGCAATGAGTCTGATATCATAGCGGTGTGATAGGGATGTCATTGGAGATGTCACGCACGTCACATTTCTGGTGACTCTCAGTTACATAGGCAGTGCGGTCGGGGTAAGCGTCCCTCTTCTGTGGTGTGCTTTTATAGTAGTTGCATACATTGTGTTGCAGAATATAACAATTTGGTGCTGACCTGGCCAACCTGGTTAGTTATTATTGTATAACTCGACCCTTATTAAGTGTTGTAATGCAAGTATGCTTGTTCCACTGTTTTAAGGTCTGACGAAGCTGTTAAAACAGCGAAAGCTTACCAATAAAGGTTATTGCACGAGTCCTCAACTATCAATACAAGAAAATCATTCAGTAAAATGAGGCTCAGGGATAGTTCGATAATATCTTAATGACTGTGATCTTTTAAGTATTTTTTCCAGGTTTTAGTAGCTTAGTTTCCGTTTCGCACGTGCCCTTAGACGGAAACCAGACAGTTTGTAATATCCTCCTTCTGTGCTCATCAGTAAGGGAAAGGAGGAGTGAAGGTGTTTCAGCGTGAAATACAAAAATAATCAAATAAAACCTTCAAGAGAGCGTCGAGTCTGCCTACCTAATTTCGGAAGCTCAGCTAACATTTCTCTTATGGGTAGGAAGACGATTTAATTAGAAACCGAAAGGCTAAGTTACAGCTGAGTTGTGGTGGAAATACTTCGAGGGCCAACTGGCAGCAACGCTATGTGAAAACACTTAGAAAACAGGGCAGTGGCGATGGCATCGTGTGTGAGGAAGGCGAGGAAACTAAATACAGGGGGCGTAAAATTAGGTGTACCATGGAAAACGCTACAACCCCC